AAAGCACGTTACCAACGTCACTCTCCAGTAAGCCCCACATCCCTCCTTTGAGACAGGGTCTGAAAGATGTCAGAAAGTGGCCTGAACTCTGATCCTCCCGTCTCCATCTCCCAAGTGCTGGGACTACAGACAGGCACCACTACACCTGGCTTTTATCCATCATTGGTAATAAACCCAGAGCCTCGTGGATGCAGGCAAGCACTCTGAGCTACTTCCCCAGCCCTGCAGTCCTGTTTCTATAAATACATATGCTCTTGAAACACTCTGAATGTTTCTGCTGAACATCTGCTTGCAACTAGCACCTTTCATTTCCAACTCAATGCTTTTGATCACAGCTTCTCCTGTGCCTTAATTAAATTTTATCGTTTCTTCTGTGTCCTAAAATTTCATTTTCTCAAGATACTTCTACAAGCCACCACCCCCTCTCTCAAAGTATCATTTGTTCCCCCCCAAAACACTTTTCATACAGTTTCTCTATCCCAGGTCACATTTCAAAAGCTAAGGATGTAACAATAAAAATAACATCTCTGTCCTCAAAACAGTATTGATCACTCAAAAGCAAATTAAATATGTACTTAGGACAAATATACACAAAGCCAGATATTATTTTGGGGACAATATATTAAAGACCCACAAATACATTTATGTTTTAGTATATTTTATTTTTCTTTATGAAGACTTCATTTTTTTAATGTTCAGGTTTATGAAGTTCTTTAGTCCTGCGAATGAAAAATAGGGCAGGAGGATCTTTTTCTAAAACCTCGATTCCTCTTCTGCTCTCTCTGCTGTGAATATAGTCAAGTGTTCAGGGGAATGAAAATCTGGGCAATGACTTCAATTCCTTCTTCCAGGTCTCTGTATCTAGTCCCTCTGCATTTGATAAAGGTCATTACTGCCTACCTGGGAAGAATAAAAGTGTGACTAGTTAGAAAGCTATGCTACAAGTGAGCACTGTCCTGGTCTGAATTAGTCTTAACATGACTGTGTGGGGACTGAGGAGATGAGCTGAAACAGGAACTCCACAGAACTTGGTACGTAGATGAGTCAAAGGGCATTGCTGAGAACTGTGCCTTCACTTCAGGTTTGCAAACCACTTAGATGGTGGTGCACTAATTAGAGAGAGAAAGAAGAACTGACACTCAGGGGGAAACATACAAGCTCATTTTGGACTATCCAAATGAATAAACTTTCAGTCCAAGGATTATGTACTCAGTAGTTTAATAGAACCAATAACACTATTAGCAATAATTGCAATTATATTATAGAGCAGGCAGAATACAGGTTTTTGTTGTTGTTTTTTCAAGACAGGGTTTCTCTGTAGATTTGGGGCCTGTCCTGGAACTAGCTCTTGTGGACCAGGCTGGCCTTGAACTCACAGAAATCCGCCTGCCTCTGCCTCCAGAGTGTTGGGATTAAAAGTGTGTGCCACCACCGTCTGGTTTTGTTTTCTTGGACAGGGCCTCACTATATACCCTTGATTGGCCAGTCTAGAACTCACTATACAGATCAGGCTGGCCCCTGCCTCTTCACTGCTCTGCTGTGATTAAAGGCTTGTGGCACTATACCCAGCAGGTACAGTCAATTTTTTGTGATTGAAAGTAGGTCTCTACATAGCCAAGGCTAGCCTCAAGTTCACAATTCTCCTTTTCCAGCTGAGATTACAAAGTGAGGCCAACTTTTACTTTAGAGCAAAATAAACAAAACATTTGGATTTAGGCACTAGCATAACTATAATTCCATTTTACCTTCATCACACTTTGGTGAATAGCTGCCTAAAATTAAGTATCTCGTTCATCAGTGAACCCAGACTTGAAGAAGTAGTTTCTTCTGACTTCAGAGCTTTGCATTCAATCCTACAAACCCTCACAGTAAGTGTTAAATATAGGTAGGTATTTTTACCGCAATAGAAGTTTTTTTTTTCCAAAATGATCAGAGAAATTAAGCATCAATAACTTGTAAAAGTAACCTGTTAAAGAGTGGCTAAGACTGACATCTAGAATCCATACTGTTTCATACCTGAGTATAAACAGAGATAACTCTCTTGAAATATTTATTTATGATGGCTAGTTTGGTATTGTTTAAAGAATAGTGCTATAAATTCTAATAATATAAGACCATTTGAAGGCTAGTGCTTATCTTCCACAGGAAGTGGTAACACAGCAGGAAGCAAATATAACTAAGGAAGATACTAGTTATCACCAATACTAGATATTACGTAAGAGAATAAAGGAAATCACAGACAAAAGCATTGCGGCAGTCCTAGAGATTAGAGCAGGACAAGGAGCTCTGGAAGGACAGTTTCCAGGTGGAAAACCTTAAAATCTTAACACTGTCTGTGAAGCTGTTAGCGAGAGCATTTGAACTAGGACTGCTCAATAAAGTGCAGGGTTATGACCCCACATCATTGTTCTAGTATCTTAGCACCTGTGTTTACAGTGATACTTTGCAGCAGTCCATTTCGTTGATTAAACGTTTTTAAAGAAATATGTATGTGTGGGTGTTCTACCTGTATGTATATGCACCAACTGTAAGTCTTATGTCCTCGGAAGCTCAAAGAGGGTGTAGCATCCCCTGGAACTGGGGTCACAGTTGGGACAGCAGCTACGTAGGTTCTGGGAACTGAATCCAAATCCTCTGGAAGAGCAGACAGTGCTTTTAACCACTGCTCAGGCATCTCTCCAGCTCTCATTTCATTTTTCTTTTCTTTCTTTTTGATTTTGTCTTTGTTTTTTGAGATAGGGTTTCCCTGTAGCTTTGGAGCCTGTCCTGGAATTGTTCTTGTAGACTAGGTTGGCCTTGAACTCACAGAGATCCTCCTGCCTCTGCCTCCCAAGTGCTGGGATTAAAAGTGTGCACCACCACTGCGCAGCTTCTCATTTCATTTTTCAAATAAAGCTTATATATTAATTTTGTTTAGTTTCAGTTTTTTGAGACAGGGTTTCTCTGTGTAGTCCTGGCCATTCTGGAACTTGCTCTGTAGACCAGACTGGACTTGAATTCAATGATCCCCCTGCCTCTCAAGTACTGGGATCAAAGGCTTGTGTGACCACACTTGGCTTATTTTTATTTGATAAGCACGAGGGCTTTTGCCCCCATGAATGTTAACGCATGCCTGATGCCTACCGAGGCCAGAAGATGGTGGCAGATCATAAGAAACAAGTTAAAGCTGGTTGTGAGCTTCTATGTGGGTGCTGGGAATCTTCTACAAAAGCAGACAGTGCTCTTAATTAGAAAGCCACCCCCAGCGCCTTTTCAGTGATTCTAACATTCCCCTTTGCACAACTTTAAGACGGTGCCTCTAACTACAGTGTGTGTGGTTTAATTATACTGTTTCAGTAGTATACAATCAGTATCATGTTCATCTTGGTGAATTCCACGCCAGTCCTAGCTTTAAACGCCGTGTAGTAAATATATACTCCTTCTCATTCAAGCTTCCTAATGGTTTCATGCAGCTGGTGTCATTACCGTTTTCCAGACAGCACAGGCTCAAAGATGTTAAACAGTACGTGCAAAAGCGACTGTCAAGCAGCAGCCAGAATCTGGCAGATTCCAAAGGTCACCCTTTTGTCCCATCTCAACATTTACCTTGGGTGATGTACAAGGTTGAATAAAAACTTTATACCTTTGTCTGAATTACTCTAATCAAGACTGAGCTCAGATGTGACCTTTGTAAATCGTTCAGGAAGAACCAGTTCTGCTCTTAACCCTTTAAGCACAACTCTATTATAGTTTACTACTAGCATACAACTTCCCTGGGGAATTTTGGAACCCAGGAATATTATCTTAACCCATATTTCTGACCCTACAGTACCCAGTACTCTTCCTGACACATAGGAACTTCATAGTGTCTGTTAAAACGGCTGCTGCTAAGTACAAGGGAAAGGAAAGGGGAATTTAAAAACTAATGTTATGTTAGATTTATAAATCGTGCGCGGTGGATTTGAAAGAACCAACGCCAGAAAGAAGTCAAGCGGGGCAAGTTGGCACACACCGGTATGGAAAGCTGAGGCAGGCGTATCTCTGTGAGTTCTAGATCAGTCAGGGTTGTATCCAAACAAACACACAAGCACAAATCAAGATTACTGAGTCTGGCTGGGCGGTGGTGGCGCACGCCTTTAATCCCAGCACTCGGGAGGCAGAGGCAGGCGGATCTCTGTGAGTTCGAGGCCAGCCTGGTCTATAAGAGCTAGTGCCAGGACAGGCTCCAAAGCTACAGAGAAACCCTGTCTCAAAAAAATTAAAAAAAAAAAAAAAGATTACTGAGTCTGCTTGAAGTGTTTAGGGCCTAAACAAAAAGTCCTTTCGGAGAAACCGCGAGCTCTTATCCGTCACAGGCCTTCCCATCATCTTCTTCGGTCCAGCTTGCACAAGGTAACTTACAGTCCCTCATGGAGGGCACTGGAGTTTACGACCCTCTCTAGAGACATTCTATTTGCTGCTGCTTTTACACACCATGCATTCTCAAACACCATATCCCAGACCGTCTTCCCGCCCCCGCCCCGCCTTTCACTTTTCCTAGAAAGTTCTTTGCTTTTTCTAAAACCACTTCTCATTCTCGAATTCAACGTTTCCATGTCAACTGTGCCACTGCAGAACTCTGGCCCTGCTTCCAATAAAACCTTAGCCGCGGCGTGTGCAGCTTCCTCCGGCGTAGTAACGGTTTCTTTCAACCAGCGACCCATGGCTACCTCGTCTTGGCGCGCCCAGCTCCACGACTGGGGGCGAGGTCCAACCCCTGGCGTTGGGGACGCGTTGCCGAACTTTTCGGAGGTCGGGAGTGAAGGCAAAATCCAGAAGCCAAGTGACAGGCGTCTGGTGCCGAAGTAGGCGGGCAACCGGAGAGGAGCAGACACCGACGCCGCCATCCTCCCAGGGAACTGAACTTCCAACTCTCGCGAGACCCGGTCTGAGCGCTCGCTTCAGCCGCCGCGACTTGCGGGTTACTTTCTTCCAATACAAGCGGCCACACAGCAAGCGTGAAACTTGCAGTTCCGGGTCAGTGTCCCGGAAGCGGAAGCGCGGCCTCCGTGCTGTCAAAGTTTTAGTGTCTCTCGGTCCCGGGAAGGCTTGTCCAGGTCCCTCGCTGGCTTTGGATCGCTTCTGCCGTGAAGGGTGGGAGCGCGGGCACGGACCAGCGAGATGAGCACCATGTTTGCAGACACGCTGCTCATCGTTTTTATCTCCGTGTGCACCGCGCTGCTCGCCGAGGGTGAGAGGGGCTGTTCCTTAGAGGTTCGATTAGGCTCAGGGTGGAAGGGCACAGAGGGTCCCCTCGTGCCCCCCCCCGAGGGAAGATCGGGAGCCTCACTTCCTGCGGCCTGCATGGTCTGCTGCAAAAAATCCTTGGCGTTTCCTCGAGAGAAGCGTGAGGATACTGTGGAATCCGATTTCCTTTGACATATTTGTGCATATATTAAAAAAAAATAAGGAACATGTTTTGATCTGACTTTGGAAGAGGTTAATTACTGATATAGAGCAAAATGTTGAAATCCTTTTGTCTCCATCAGTAACAATTAAAGATAGTTTGTTGTGACTATTCCAATAATTCCTCATGAGCATGTTCGTTTTACTATTTTAGGAATAACGTGGGTCCTGGTTTACAGGACCGACAAGTACAAGAGATTGAAGGCAGAAGTGGAAAAACAAAGTAAAAAATGTGAGTATGATACATGTGGTTTCAGTTAAGGTCATTGAGTGCATGTTCACAGTGACTTTTGTGCTTTTGCTAGACAGGGTTTCTCAGTAGCTATGGAGCCAGCCCTGAAACTCACTCTGTAGACCAGGCTGGCCTCGAACTCACAGAGTTCTGCCTGCCTCTGCCTCCCCAGTGCTGGAGTCAAAGGCGTATGGCACACGTTGCATAGTAACTATTTTAGGAGCACCAACTGATACTAAGAATATAAAAATAGTTCAGTGTACTTGGTTGGGGCACACGTTGAAATCTTGGCACTCAGGAGATCAAGACAGAATTGTGAGTTCCAAGCCGTCGTGGGCTTCATAGAAACATCAGTCTCACATTACAGATAAAAACCGTAATCCATCTTGGTAAAAATAGAAACCAAAGATGACAGGGTTTCTCTGTTTACAGCTCTGGCTGTCCTGGAGCTTGCCTTTGTAGACCAGGCTGACCTCGAACTCTCAGAGATCCTACTGCCTCTGCCTCCTGAGTGCTGGGATTAAAGGTATGTACCACACCACCTGGCTTGAAATCAAAGACTTTTTTTTTTGTTTTGTTTTTGTTTTTGTTTTTCGAGACAGAGTTTCGCTGTGGCTTTGGAGCCAGTCCTGGAACTAGCTCTGTAGACCAGGCTGGTCTCGAACTCACAGAGATCCGCCTGCCTCTGCCTCCCGAGTGCTGGGATTAAAGGCGTGCGCCACCATCGCCCGGCGAAATCAAAGACTTTTGTGCATTGTCTTTAATAAAGCTAAAAGGAATCTGTGTGTGGTGGAACTCCACTTTAATCCCAACACTCAGAGATATGGCAGGCCTCGTCTATGTAGTGAATTCCAGGCTAGCCAGAGCTGCCTATTGAGACCCTGCCTAAGGGGGAAACAAAGCTGAAGGGGAAAGGGGTCACGGCAGATGTATATGTGCAGTCTTCATGCTAAAGAAGAGGGCCCGTTCTGCTGTGAGGGACCATGGAAGCCTCCTGATGCAGGTGGTCCTAAAGTCCCTTGTGGGCTAGTTAGAATGTAGATAGAAAAGAAGCTAGGGGAGAAAGTCTAAGTTGAGTGGTACCCTTTAGGGAAGCCAAGTTTCAGTTAGGTGAGAAAGTTGAAAAATGTTTGAAAAAAATGATGAAAAGAGGTAAAATTCGTTGCCTTTGAAGTAAAGTTAAAAATTAAACAGGGTACAACTTATCACATAAACAAGGCCTTGTGTAGCCCAGGCAGGCCTCAGATTTATGATACTGCAACCTCAGCTCCCCAATTACTGGGACTTGACTACTTGAATGATTCTTTTTGTTTATTTGTTTGCTTTGTGTTTTGTTTTGTTTTGTTTTGTTTCAGACAGGATTTCTCTGTGTAACTCTGGCTGGCCTGGACCTCACTCTGTAGACCAGGCTGGCCTCACACTCACAGAGATTCGGCTGTCTCTGCCTCCCTGAATGCTGGGAATAAAGGTGTATGCCATCTCCCCCTGGCTTTTTTGAATGATTCTTTATAGGCACAATTGGTATGCAGTATTATTTTTGTTTTGTTTTCTGAGGTGGGTCTCATTTAGCCCTGGTTGGCCTTGAACTCACTATTAATGCAGCTAAGGATGACTTTGAACTGATTCTCATGATTACCTTCCAACGGATGGAATTACAGCCATTCACAACCACAGCTAGCTTGTTTTCTTAGAATTCCTACAGCTATCTTTATTCTCATTTCCTTACATCTTTGTAAGATTTTTTAAAAAGTTTTAGACAGGATCCTTTTTGTTTTGTTTTGAGACAGGGTTTCTCTGTAACTTTGGGGCTTGTCCTGGAACTCACTTTGTAGATCAGGCTGGCATCAAACTCTCGGAGATCCTCCTGTCTCTGCCTCCGGAGTCTTGGGATTAAAGGCGTGTGTCACCACTGCCTGGCATTAGACAGGATCTTAGGTAGGCCAGGCTAGCTTTAAACTCTATTTACCTGAGGTTAACGTTGAACTTCTGATCCTCTCATTTCTGCTTACTAAGTGCTAGAATTGCAGGTATGCGCTATCGCATCCAGTTTTGGGGGTGCTGGAGATTGTACTCAGAGCTTTGTGAGTGATAAGTAAGCCCACTTTTCCAGCCGAGGTGTATTCCTTACCTCTTCTTCCATTTCTTCCCCCTTAACTGATCTTACTCGAGGGCCTGGAGCGTAGTGCTGTGATGGAGTTTGTGCCTAGCACATTCAAAGCCTTGAGTTCAACCTTCAGCAGTGGTTCACATAGTAACCGCTGTGGTTGGTTATATAAACGTCTCCACCTTATGGGACAGGAGACTCAGACACAGAAAGCTAATGATAGACTTATATCACAAGAAAACACAGAACTGGAGACTAAACCCAGACTTTTGTTTTGAAGCCTAGACTTCTACAATTACAGTTCACCGTTCCTTAGTCAATGTTGATAATGGCGGCTCACCATATCTAAGACCATTATATTTACCGTCACAAACAGGACTCTCTTCCAGGATTTTCTTACCTTTATGCTTCTAGCAGGGAAATCCAAAAATCTTTTTAAAAAGGTCATAAGATTTCTTTGTTGCTTGTTTCTACTTACTAGCATAAAAATGCTACTAGGGCACAGTTTTTTTTTTTCAGCGTAACTTTCTTGTAATTCATCTGTGATAAAGCATCTTTTTAATATGTAGTTTTATGTGTTTATTTTTACAGTGGAAAAGAAGAAGGAAACTATAACAGAGTCAGCTGGCCGACAACAAAAAAAGAAGATAGGTGCGGTATAACCTAAACAAAACTTAATTTGTTTGTTATCTTTTTATTTTTTAACATATTTTTAATTAGAGTTATATCACTTTACCCCTTTTCCTTCCTCCAGCCCCTCCCAGATACTCTCTAGGACCCTTCCCATATCTGCCCCCATGCTCAAATTGATAGTTTCTATTCTTTCTTATTTTTACATACATATATGTCTATGCATATATAAGTATATAAATACAATGTTTTGTCTGTTTTTGTTGTTTGTGTGTATATGGTTTCAAGGTTGACTAGTTTGTATTGGATAACCAGTAAGGGAGCTCATGCCTGAGCAAGGCTAGTTCTCCCTCTCCCCTTAGTTGTCTTTAGTTCTTCGTGTAGAGGTGGGACCCTGTGACGTTTTCTCCCTTCCATGTTCACGTCTATTGATATTCCCATTGTTCTGGTCTTGTTTACGCAGCCATTTCTAGAAGAGACTGTTTACCAGCAGACTTCCTGGTGCTCTGGCTCTTACAATCTTTTTTCTCCCTCTTTTGTGATGTTCCCTGAGCATAGATACAGGAGTTGTGAGGTTGATGTAGTCACTGGGACCGGGTTCTCCAGGATCTGTTGATCTCTGCTTTGTGTCCAGCTGTGGTTTTCTGTGGTGTTCTCCATGTGCTGCAGGAAGCTGCTTTGATGCGGTGGTCTAAGGATGAGATGCAGAGTGTAGTAAGGAGCTAGCTATGCTGGCCTAACAAAGTGGCAGTAGTAGATGGTTTTTCTCAAACTTTTATTATGTGAGCCTCCCTGTGGGTGCTGAGAAGTAAATGTAGGTCCTTTGGAAGACCAACCAGTGCTCTTGACTGCTGAGCCGTCTCTCTAGCCCCAGTAGTCTTTGCTGTGACCGCACTAGCTCCAGGAAGTCGGCTAGGTTTCTAAGCATGATTTCCCTCTTGTTTAGTAGGCCTTGAGTCCAGTCAGACAGCTGCTGGTTATCATCACTCTGTGAGCGCCACATAGAGCACTTTTATTTAAGTGGGAAAACTTTGGCACTCTTCTATATTTAAACATTCTGTTAGTGCAAAGTAAGTAACAGGTTGTTGCACTTATTCACTTCATTTTGTTGAATGATATTGAAACAAAATGCTTTTGTAACCTCTAGACAGTGTTAATTTATTCAAGAATTATGCTGTGTTCAATACTTTTGTACTAACCAGTTTATTAATTCTTTTCAGAGAGACAAGAAGAGAAACTAAAGAACAACAATCGAGACCTGTCAATGGTGAGAGGCCAGAGACCATATAAGCTGTTTTTTATTTTATTTTTTTTTAAGCAAAAGTCCTATTTGCATCAAATGCATTGCATTTAGGTTTTTTGTTTTTGTTTTTTTGTTTTGAGACAGGGTTTCTTTGTGTAGCCATTGCTGTCCTGGAATTTGCTTTGTAGACCAGGCTGGCCTCAAACTCAGAGAAGTCTGTCTGCCTCTGCCTCCTGAATGTGGGGATTAAAGGTGTGTGCTGCCCCTCTCGGCTACATTTAAGTTCTTTGGCTGATTTAAGTTCTTACAATTTATCACTTTTCAGGGGTATAAGTAATAATAACAGGTATTATTAGACTAAATAGAAAAAATATGCTGCCACATTTAAACTTCTTTTTGAAGCTACCATGGTGGTGCATACCTTTAATCCCAGCACTCAGAAGCAGAAGCAAGTGGAATCTCTCTGAGTTCCAGGCCTTTCAGAGTTGCATGGGGATACCTTGCCTCAAAGAAACAATGCTTTGGGGGGTTATATTTGTTTCCTTCAGAAGTGTCTTGCCTTTTTTGTCCTCCGCACCGATATATCCAAGTTTTCGTATGCAATGGAGTGATGAGCACAAACACCAGTAGAGATAAAATGCTGGCGTAATAACATATGTGCAGTTGTTTCTGTCACTTAGGGTACAGTAGTTACTATGACACGCATGTCTCGGTTTTTTTGTTTTGTTCTGTTCTGTTCTGTTTTGGTCTTTCAAGACAGGGTTTCTCTATGTGTCTTTGGAGCCCTGACCTAGAACTTGGTCTGTAGACCAGGCTGACCTCTAATTCACAAAGATCCTTATGTCTCTACCTCCTAAGTGCTGGGATTAAACGCATGCGCCACCACCACTCTGATCATGTCTTGCTTTTTAAAAAAAGTTCTTTTTAAAGTTTTATTCTTTTTAAAATAACTATTATTACTTATTTTATGTGTATAGACATTTTACCTGCATGTGTGTCGTGTACCATGTGCATGCCTGGTGCCTTCAGATTTGAGTACTAGGAATTGAACCCAGATCCTCTCTGGAAGGAGCAGCCAATGGTCTTAACCACTGTTTCATATATCCAGCCCCTTTTTAGTTTTAAATACAATTATTTTTCCACCTGTGTCCGTACTGAATCTTGGGTTTATGCTGTTTATATAATTCCAGTATAGGGGTGGCACATTGTAAATAGTTAAGAGTCTTGGTTGTTTGTCATACAAATGTTAGGAGAAGTGATTTCCTAGCCCTCTTAACTCCTCACTTGACTCAGGACTGCCTTTAAGTTCTGTGTATTTAGCAATAGCACATCTCAAGATTCCATAAGTTTCTTCACTTACTGAGAGATATTGGCTATGCTTCTTCATTTTCTAAAAAATTTTTTTCCAGGATGACTATAATTTACAGATAGTACTTATTTTTTCCTGACACATGGTCCTACTGTGTACCCCTGGCTGGCCTGGAACTCACTTTCTAGACTAGGTTGGCCTCGAACTTAGAAAGGTAAGTGTAAGTCTGCCTCTCCCTCCTTAGTGCTGGTATTAAAGGTGTGTGGGCCTGGCTACAGGGAGATACTTTAAAAAGTGAGTGTTCTTACCTTTAGCACATTTTTAAACATGTTCACTATTTGGAAATTATCTGAAAACTGTCTGTATGTATTTATGGGATGTGGAATTTAATGAGAATTTTTTTTTTTTTTGGTTTTTCGAGACAGGGTTTCTCTGTGACTTTGGAGCCTGTCCTGGAACTAGCTCTGTAGACCAGGCTGGTCTCGAACTCACAGAGATCTGTTAATAAGAATTTAGTTGCACATAACAGGATACCAAAATCACAATGGTCTACCATGTTGTTTTCTTTCTGTTGCTCATGAAATCAAAAGGTTGGCAGCCCTAAGCTTAGCATGCCCTCAGTCAAAATTCTCTTGTCTGATTGATGCTTTTCCTTGAGGCATTTTATTCTTCATTCCAGCCACCCTACCCCAGCCCTTGAAAAAAATCCTATAAATATTCAAGTTTGTCATTTTAAAAAGTGCTTTTCAGATCCGGGTATTGTAGTTATACGTGTCTGTGATCCTCAGCAGGTTTAGGCAGAGTCAATGAGATCAAGAATTCAAAACCAGCCTTGGCAACATAACCAGACTTTATCATAATAATAATAGAACATAGATCCCAGTGAACACTTGTTATTGCTGACTGGTTGGCCAGAAAGGGGCCTCAGAGCTATCCCAGTTCAAGTAAGGAGAGGAGAAACTGGAGGTGGAAGAAGAGCTTTTTGCCAAGGAGAACTTTTTTTTTTTAAAGATTTATTTATTTATTATGTATACAGCATTCTGTCTGCATGGATGTCTGCACGCCAGAAGAGGGCACCAGATCTCATTACAGATGGTTTTGAGCCACCATGTGGTTGCTGGGAATTGAACTCAGGACCTTTGGAAGAGCAGCCAGTGTTCTTAACCGCTGAGCCATCTCTCCAGCCCCCCCAAGAAGAACTTTTTGTTTTTCATTTGTTTGTTTTTGAGACAGGGTCTCACTGTGTAGTCCTGTGTGATGTCAAACTAACAGGATCAGCATGTGTCTGCGTCCCAGTGTATGCCACCACACCCAGTAGAAACCTTTTAAGAGAAATTACATGACACTTCAATTTTTGGAGGATGCCTTATTTCTTTATTTTTAGTGTGAAATGATCTTTTTTTGTTGTTGTGCTTTCCTTATAGGTACGAATGAAATCCATGTTTGCAATTGGCTTTTGTTTTACTGCCTTAATGGGAATGTTTAATTCCATGTGAGTAACCCTTTATCTTCTTCTGCATAATAAATGTTATTCTATGTTTGTATGCAAATGAGCGTAAGATTTTTATCAATACTTTGTCAGAATTTCAAAGTTATAGCCTCATACTTGAAAAGCTGAAGCCATAGTATTCTGAGTTTGAGGCCTGCCTAGAACTTCATAGCCAAATCTTCTCTCAAAAGTAATGGAAGAAAGAAAATAAAATTTTACAATTAAAAACGAAGTTACGGGCTGGAGAGATGGCTCAGAGGTTAAGAGCGTTGCCTGCTCTTCCAAAGGTCCTGAGTTCAATTCCCAGCAACCACATGGTGGCTCACAACCATCTGTAATGGAGTCTTCTGGCTTGCAGGCATACACACAAAGAGAATATTGTATACATAATAAATAATAAAATATTTGGAAAAAAAAATAAAAACGAAGTTACAAGAATAGTAAATCTGTTATCCAGATTTACAGTTGTTATTTCACCTCAGTTTTTTCTCATATACATTATTGTTTTTCCTCATAAACATACACATATTAAAAAACCCTTTTCATTGTGTCTATTTATTGTACATGGTACTATGTCACAAGTATATATTGTACATTGAGCGTATTTCCCCTATACTGTTCACCATTTTTGTTTGTTTGCTTTTTGTTTATTGAGACAGGTTTTCTCTGTGTAGCCTTGGCTGTCCTGAAATTCACTTTGTAGACCAGGCTGGCCTCAAACTCAAAGATATTCCACCTGTTTCTGCCTCTGGAGTGCTGGGATTAAAGGCTTGTGCCACCACCACCCTACTTCCTACAGAGATTTTTTTATGAATATATAATGTGCTTTGAACATATCCTCCTATCATATGTCTTTAATAATCATTTGAGAATATGTAGTAGGCTTCATGCTTCTGTACCTATAACTACTCCAAGGACAACTTGGAGGAATCTGTTCCTTCTTTCCATCAGATAGGTCCAGGGATTTGAACTCAGCTTGTTAGGCATGATGGCAAGTGCCTTTTACCCTTTGGGCCATGTTGCCATCCTATTTTTTAAAATAACTTCAAAATAAGTATCTAAATAATTTTTTTAAAAAAAGAATACAGTCATATAGTACTTCTCACCCTATGGGGCATGACTTCTGGATTCCAGTGATCCTTTCACAGAAAAGATCTAAGATCATCAGAAAATACAGATATTTACATTATTGTAATGGTGTAAACGAATGCAGACAGATTGTAAAAATATATATATAGCTTTAATGGAGAAATAGACTTACAGAACCACCGTTCCAGGGGAGACCAGGAAAGCAGAAGCAGCGGCTGGGAGCACGCTCGCCAGATTTATAGGCAAACATTAGCCCGAGGCGAACACGCCCCCTTAGGGGCGGGACTTATCCCTACATCTCCCCTTTTTGTCTAAATAAGACAGAACTAAACCAAATACAACTATATACAATAATAACAAATAATAAATATAACAAACAATATTGAGAACAAAAGTTTTGCTAAACATTCTATCTCAAGGAGTCTAAATAATGTAGAGAGTAACTATAATTATATAACCTTCAACTCCGTCAAAGATCTGAGAAGGGAATAAATATTACTTAACAAACGAGATATATCCAAAATGTGCAACAATTGACAGAGACAACTGACTACCTGGGCAATCACCCAAAGTCTCGTTTGCAATGTTGAGTCAACCAACTTTGGCTAAGTTCTAACATAACTGAAATAGCATTCTGTTCTGTTTACTCCTCCCACCTATGTTTTAACCTATGAGGCCAAGCAGTTTCTTTATTACTTAGCCAATGACCTTCCTCCATCACATTATGATTTATAATTGTAACAAAGTTACAGTTATAAAGTAGTAACTAAATAATTTTATGGTTGGGAGTCACCACAACATGGAGAACTAACTGTATTAAAGGGATGCACCATTAGGAAGGTTGAGAACCACTGACATACCCTTTGTGGGCTTTTTGGTTTTTTGAGACAGAGTTTCTCTGTTTAACCCTGGCTGGCTTTCCTGGAACTCATTTTGTAGACCAAGCTGGCCTTGAACTCAAGAGATCCTGCTGCCTCTCCGCCTCTCAACTGCTGGGACTAAAGGAGTGTGCCACTAGTCCAGGCTCATAGTAACTTTTTAAACCTACTTAATAGGGAGAACATTTATTTTTTAGATATAAACTTAGGCTTATATAATTCAATATGCTCTTCTTTTTAAATTGCTTACTAATGTGCTTCTTCAAACTGAAGGTATTCATATAAAAAGGTTTTGACTCTTAAAATAGTCTTAACAACTATAATCTTGTTCAGCGATGAGGTACTGTTGTTTAAACAAGCATGTAGCAGAGCGGAGCAATTACGGTACTGCTTTGACAGAACTAGATAAACATCCGTCCACCTGAGCTACAGCATGTCAATAGAGTTGCCTGGCTTTCTTCTCTCCTTACCTCTCGCTCTCTCTCTTTTCTCAAACTTCCTTTTTGTCTGTTCTTCTGTTTCTCCTTCCAAAGTGTTTCTCCGTATGTTTCAGTGTTAGCACAATTTTACAGGAAGGCCAGGCCATAGTGGTGCACACACTCAGGAGGCAGAGGCATCATCTCTGAATTCGAGGCCAGCCTGGTCTACAGAGCGAGTTCCAGGACAGCCAGAGCTATACAGAGAAGCCCTGTCTCAAAAAACAAACAAACCAAACAATTTACAGGAAGAGAAATAAGCCAACGATACATTTATTGTAAAAGGAGCTCCTGGCCGCCTGGCTAGCTTATACCTCGAAATAACAACAGACAAATTATATTCATTTAAATACTGCCTGGCCCATTATTTCTAGCCTCATACTGGCTAACTCTCACATCTTAATTAACCCATTTCTATTAATGTGTGTTGTCACTTGACCGTGGCTTTCCGGCATGAGTCTAACCAGTGTCCTTCTCAGAGAGGAGAGCCATGGCGTCTGCCACACTGCCTTCTTCCTCTGAGAATTCTGTTCTGTCTCCCCGCCTATCTAAGTTTGCCCTATCAACTATGCCAAGGCAGTCTCTTTATTTAACCAATGAAAGTAACACCTAGACAGAAGACCCTCTTACACCATACATCGATGAGCATTATGATAGAAATGTGTGGAAGTATACTAGGGAAGGAAGAAGAAAGTGGTTATTTTTATCTAGGTGAGGGATTTAGAGAAAGTAAGATTCCTAGCCAGACATGATGGCACATGACTTTAATATCCCAGCACTGGGAAGGCAGATGCAGGCAGATCTCTGTGAATTCAAGGCCTGCCTGCTCTATGTAGTGAGTACAAGTCAGCCAGAGCTACCTAGTGAGACCTCAACTCAAAAAGAAAACAAAAAACCCTACAAATTCTACTTAGATAATCATTCTTGGAATCATAGGCCTTTAGAAGTGGAAGGCATTGGGTAACTTTCCAGGGTATCTAAAAATCCCACGATGTCTTTCATTATATTTCCCACATTTATTGTTTTTTGTGTATGGTAATGAAGGGGCACACCACGGTATTCGTTTGGATGCTGAAGGACAACTTTTAAGAACTGATTCACAGCTTCAACTATACAGCGAGACCCTGTTTCCAAGAGGAAAAACAGCACCCAACATTAGACTAAGAAAGGGAAGGTGCGTGCTCCTAGGGCTAGGGAAGCAGCTGGAATGTCAAAGAGCACTTTCTTTCCAAGTTGCTCCTCTTCTTGATTTCATTCAGTGGAAATAAAAGGTTAGAACTAGGAAGCTGTAGGCAATGCTCTAGCAATTAAATTTAAATTTTAGTTCTATAAAAGGAGCATAATGTTTCCTGAGAGCCATACTTTGTGAATAGGTTTTCAGGTCTGAAAAATAATTCCTGGGGCTGAGTTGGTAGAGTGCTTGCTTGCCTGGCATGTGGAAAGTCCTAGGTTCAGCACCTAGCACTGCATGAACTGGGCCTGGTAGCCTATGCCTGCAATCCCAGCACTTGGGAGGTGGAGGCAGTAGGTTCCAGAGTTGTCTAGGGTTGCCTAGGCTAAATTTGCCTGTTATTTAAAAAGAAAATAGCTCCTTTCCTGAGTCCAAATACGCTTCCCTGTACCTCTACTCATGAGTAGTAGTCGTGCCTAGGATTTGCAAAGCTTTAAGGAAACGATCTACTTTGCCCCAACTCTTCTTTCCTTTCTTAGGTTGGCCACAATGTTTAGCTATTTCTCATAAAATCTCCTAGTCCTATGTTAAAAAAAAAAATCACTACAAGTCAGTCTTTGCCAAGGAGCTCAAGAAATCTCTACATGGTGGTAGAACACACCTTTAATCACAGCACTCAGGAGGCAAATCACAGCACTCAGGAGGCAAAGGCAGGTGGGTCTCTGAGTTTACTATCAATGTGCTCTACAGAGGGAATTCTGGGACAGCGAGGGAGAGAGAGAGAATTGTGAACCCAACAGTTTCCTATGAAACCAAACATTAGATTCCAATCTATTATAAGTTCTTTGTTTTAGAATATACTTTACCCAAAATACTTTTTAACGCTTTAAAAGATTTAAGGTTTTTAAAACTTTTTAAAAAATTGTCTGTGTGTATATGGTGGGGAGAGGTGCCTGTCCGGAAGTCAGAGGACAACTTGCAGGCGATGATTCCCTCCTTTGTCACGTGGGTGACAGGATGGAACTCAGGTCATCAGGCTTGACAGCAGGCACCTTTTCATAATGAGCCGTCTTGCTGGCCCCTAAAAGTTACTTTTCATTAAAATTTGCATGTTCACATCTACCAGATGTCTTGATACTTGAAGATACTTATGGGTGTTTTGCCTGCATGTATGCACCTTGTGCAAACCTGATGTCCTGCGGAGGTAAGGTGACATCTCTTGGAACTGGAGTTATAGATAGGATTTTTCTGTGTTACCAGCCCTGGCTGTCCTGGAACTCACTCTGTAAACTAGGCTGGCCTTGAACTCACAGAGATCCACCTGCATCTGCCTCCTGAGTGCTGGAATTAAAGGTGTGTGCCACCATGCCTGGCTTAGTTCAATTTTTAATATAGCATATATTAATAGCTATAGTTGGCACAATAAAAGTCTGCTGGGTCCTCTATAATTTGGCAGGATCTGTTCTTCATACCAGAAGCATGGAGAATCACTTGTTTAGAGAGCACTGGTTAGCCTGGATCCTTTCCTGCATCACTGCATTTTCAGTCTTTGTCAAAGTGTTCTAGCTGTGCCCAGATGTTTTTCTAAACATAACAGTTCTTTGCTTTTATTTTTCCATTTTAGATTTGATGGTAGAGTGGTAGCAAAGCTCCCCTTCACCCCTCTTTCTTACATCCAAGGATTGTCTCATCGAAACCTGCTGGGCGATGACACCACAGACTGCTCCTTCATCTTTTTGTACATTCTGTGTACTATGTCAATCCGACAAGTGAGTATTCATACCCTGCATTTATATGTATAGCTTTCCTTTCTGTCCGTGCTCAAGCTTGCTTTACTTCTGTAACACTGGGAACGCTCATCTTTCAGTTGCTCGTTTTAGAATTCTAGTGTATTGTTTACAACTATATTAAATGCCTGAAAATCTAGATTACTGACTTTAGGGAAAGCAAAAGAAAGCTTCAGTGGCCGAGGCTGAGAGCAGCACAGAACATGGGGTGCCTTGCTCTCGCTGCTGCACCGAGTGTCGAGGGGAAGCTCTCCGCCGTAGCCTGACATCTTCATCTACCCGCTCAGCATCTTGTTTCTCCAAGCAGTTTTTCCTTTCCATTTTTTTCCTTCGTTTCAATAAACATGTCATTTAAAAGCCATCAGAGTTTTTAAACTGGTTTTTATTCTCAAAAATGACAAGGACTCATTTAATTGACCCCTGTCCCTGCAGAATAACTGAGCAAAGATGCCTTGTATGTTTTGTCTAGAATTATATTGCTATGTTTGTTGGCTGGACAAGTGTGGTATCGTTATGTGTTCTCAAATGTCTTATTTCAAATTGTTTTTATTTCTCAGAATCCTTCGCCTAGTGCTAAATACATTGTAGGTGCCAAGGAAATACTTGTCAGTTTTTGTTGTTTTTAATTTTTTTTTTTTGAGACAATCTTATATATCCCAAGCTGGCGTTAAATGCCTAATCCTCCTAACTGTACTTCCCAAGTGCTGGGATTACAGGCATATGCCTTCATACCTGGCTTTTAATGCCCAAATTTCAAAAGCTGGGAATTGATCAGGTATGGTGGCACATGCCTTTAATCCCAGCACTCAGGAGGCAGAGACAGGCAGAAGGAAGAAAGAAAAGAAAGTGAAAGAAAGAAGGCAAAGGGCTGGAAAAAAAAAAATCATGTTTTTGCCACGTGGTGGTGGTGGTGGTATACACCTTTGGAAGCAGAGGCAGGCAAATCTCTGAGTTCAGGTCATCCAAACCTGGTCTACAGAGCAAGCTTAGCCAAGGCTAAGTAAAGAGACCCTCTCTTGAAAAACAAAAACAGAAAAACCCTGGAAATTGGTAACATATTACTCTTTTGTGCAGTGGCAGTGTTTTTTGTTTTTAATTTTTTTACACATATATGTGAAGTTAATTAATTTGTTTTTTGTTTTTCAAGACAGGTATCTCTGTGTAGCTTTGGATCCTGTCCTGGAACTTGCTCTGTAGACCAGGCTGGTCTCGAACTCACCATGATCCACCTGCCTCTGCTTCTTGAGTGCCTCTCGGATTAAAGGCATGCAACACCACTGCCCTACTGTGAAGTTAATTATAAAAGTAATACAAATGCAGATTTTTCTTTCTCTAGCCTGATCTACTAATTATTGGTCTTTCTAACTCATTCTAAAATTTTCATTTAATATGAGTTATATTGTATGCTACATATATTTAAATGCTTTGTGATAAATACAGTCTAAAGGGGTCCTTTAAGTTGTATTTGTTACTTCATCATATTCTGACAAGGGATTAAAGGGAGTATGTACTTCTAAAGGAGCCTAAGTCTGGACATTTTCCCAGTGTCTTAATTGCAACAGCTAATGAAGGAGCAATGAAGGATAGGAAGTTGAGATGTAAAAAACTGTGTACACGGAATATCATTTGGTAAGCAGAATTTAGCATAGTAAGGGTGGTGGAAGAGAACCCACTAGACTAAGAATCAATTGTGTAGGTTTAAATTATAACTTTTTTGAGATAGGTCTAATGTGGCTCAGGCTGGCCTTGAACTCTTGATCCCCTGGCCTTCACCTCCTGAGCACTAGAGTTACGGACATGTGCCACCACATCCACTTTACCTCTGCTCTCAGTTTAGCTTTGTTGTTCTGGAGCATCCATATGCCTTTTCATAGTTTAGTTTCTTTAGATACCAAATGAAGGAGGAATTGAGAAGAGAAAGGAGATAATCCCTGAGGTTTTTCTTAAGAAATGCTGGGTCACTGTTGGCCTTTACTTCACCTTGGCTCACTCAGAAGCCCTCTCCATTCTTGTTAAAGCATCTGCCAATTGATTTCCTAGTCAGCTGTCTGTTCAGGAGTGCTCTTTAGCACACCCACGCCTGTCTGCTCCAAGAGTCCATTGTTTTCCAAAACCTGTTTATACTGGTTTTGCTTGTTATTGTTGTTATGTAATTAAATTTAATGTTATATTAGCCAAAGAAATCAGAACATAAAATACTTGTTTTTTTTTTTATAGGATCTTCTTCAGTACTTTTTACAAAACTGAATAGTTTTTTTTCTTAAAAAAAACTATTTGTTGCATTAGATACTGTTGACAGAAGTTTCTGTCCCACCAGCAGCTTCCAAATAAATACACTGAGGTTTATATTACTTATAAATGCTTGGCCAATAGCCCAGGCTTGTTACTAACTAGCTCTTACATTTTAAGTTAACCCATAGGTCTTATTTATGCTCAGCCACGTGGTGGTACTTTTATTAACATCCCCTGCTCCCTCTGAGTCGGTCTGGCAACTCCTGACTCTGCCCTTTTTCCTCCCAGCATTTTCCTAGTTTGACTCTCCTGTCTAACCTTATTCTGTTCAGCTTTTGGTCAGTCAGCTATTTATTAAACCAATTGCAGTGACATATATTCACACAGTGTAAAGGACTGTTCCATAACAAGATACAATTAAGATAAAGAAAAAGATGGAAAGGATTTATAAATCTAAAAATTCGTCAGGCAGTGGTGACTCACGCCTTAAATCCCAGCTCTTGGGAGGCAGAGGCAAGCAGATCTCTCTGAGTTTGAGGCCAGTCTGATCCTCAAAGCAAGTTCCAGGACAGCCAGGGCTGTTAAACAGAGAAACTCTGTCTTGAAAACAAATAAAAGGCCGCTTAAATTTTGGATTAGCAGACCCAGGTCCCGTCAAGTATGTACGGCTCTTACTTTTGTGATCTTCATTATTTAAAAATATGACATAGTCACCCTGTTGCAGGTAACAGGACTTTGAGTTTGTGTCATTCTCATTGCTGAGAAGGGTGTAAAGCACTTTTTATGGCTTTTATTAAAATCAATTATTAATGTGCTTGCTTTACAGAACATTCAGAAGATCCTTGGCCTTGCCCCTTCTCGAGCTGCCACCAAGCAGGCTGGTGGATTTCTTGGCCCCCCACCTCCTTCTGGAAAGTTTTCTTGAAAGAAAGCAGAATTCTTTATTTCCTGTCTACTTTCTAGACATTCACATCAGACTGCCAAGGCACCTGGCCACATTCTAGTTTTGAGTTATTTTTCAGCTTTTTGGATATGATCGGAATGAGAATGGTGTTTAACTAGTGGGTTAGTTCTCTCAGCCATGGATGACTTTAGTAAGTGGACGCATTGGTCAAATTTGGGTGATTTTTATGTAATCACAAAGATCATCTTTCTTCTATCACTTAAGTATTTCTGTGGGGCAATGATCAAGCCTGTGTATGTGCCATGTACCATAGAAGCAGACTGTCTATGAACATTAGACAGCTAGGAGGAAAAACAGTTTGTATAACAACTTAATAGGAAGTTTTCGTTGTTTTTTAAAAAGCCAAATATGTCACTTATGTTTGATTTGATAACAAGCCAAATTTTTAGCTGTTTCATTTAGAGAGATATTTGATTTTTTTTGCAAATTTAAATAAAATATTTTCTTTAATCTGAACATAAGGGTAAGCATTGGCCCAGAAGAGCTAAAATAAAATTTTGTCATGTGTTCCTATACTAACCTTGTCTCATATGTTCAAAATATGGAATTGTCCTAGCGTACAATTTGAAAGTGTTCTAGTTTGCTTTGTGTTGCTTTGATAAAGATTGTGGTCAGAAGCAACTTAGGGGAGGAAAGGGTTTATTTCACCTTTCACTGCCAGGTCACAGTTCATCCTTGAGTGAAGTAAAGGTTAGAATTCAAGCAGGATCCAAAGCAGAAGCCATGGAAAAACGCTGCTTACCAGCTCTCTCTCTGACTTGCCTCAGCTAGCTTTCTTATACAGCCCTGGCCCACCCTGTCTAGAAGACTCTACACTACAGAGGCCTGGACTGGGCCTCCTACATCACTCATCAGTGAAGACAGTCTCTCCCAGACATGGCTATAAGCCAGGCTGACCTGGGCGATTTCTTAAGTTCCCCCTTGCCAGGTGACTCTGGGTTATGTAAAGTTGACAATAAAAACTAGCACAAAAAGTAAGAGTAAAAAGGAAAGGGAGAACGCCATGATTAGATAATCTGTGCTTATCTGGTGCGATTCTGCTTGACTTGAAAGAAACAACTTCATGGGAGAGGGCTGGTTTCTCTTTACTGGAGACAGTACTTGGAGTCTGATCTCAGAGCACTGCTCATGGAAACCGTTATTTCTAGAGCTTTCTGTGAACATAATATTTGTTGTTTTAAAGCAGATTACATCATGAGCTCATACTGTCCAAGCTACAGCATCTATTTTACTTCTCTGGTTTGTATTTCCTTTATCAAACCATGTTTAGAATTACAGTTTTTAGTGCAGACCTGATGGAAGTGGAGTACCACACAATTGCCCTCTGGCTTATTCTCAGACACACCCAGAAGTCTCAACTGACCACAAGCATTAGCCAGCAAGGCAACCAAAGCTTCTAGAATGTATTGATTTTGGTAGGGAGCAGTGCCATCGCATTGGGAACTCACAGTCAGATAACAGATTTCCAGTAATATTTCCGAGATTTTTATGTCGTCATATCTGATTGTCTTACTTCTCTGAGAATAGCCACTCCATGGCTCCTACTGCCCTTTAAGTCAGTTTAAACTGTTGCACACACATCATCACCCCAAGCCAGATCTCAGTTCTCCTACACCTCTGTTCCCTGCTTCCTGAATCCCAGGCTTTAGTTATCAAAGCTGACTAAATAAATTCTTTATTTTTCTTGTGGGTTTTTTGTTTGTTTTGTTTGGGGCTTTCCTGTCTGTCTGCTCTGTCTGTTATGTTGTGTCTGATTTTCTCCTGCTGTCCTAGGAGTCACCATCATCTTGTGCAAGGTTTCCCTGACCTTGACATGGTTGGGTTAGACTTCTCTCCTTATGCTTCTGTTTAAGCTTCTCATAAAAGTCATTTGTTAAATGATGAACAATGACCTTTCTAACCCTCAGTCTCCTGATCTGAAAAATGGGGCTAATAACCTTGGGAAAGCTCTTTACAGTCTCTATGAATCTGAGTCTTTGGATAACCTGTCTGACGCTTGCCCACCTTGCTTTGAATGCTCTCCGTGTTCATGTTCTTTGGTTCCTACAGTGGTTTATTTAAGTTGGTTACATATTATGTGACTTAATGAAATACACAAGTGAGTATTTGCTTCTATGAAAACTAGGTTGAATGGTTTAGAGTGACCTAATAAACCAACTTCCTGTCCTACCACCATTCGAGAACAGCATCCATCACCCTTTGCTACTTCATGGTCATGGGCCTCAGCAGGGGCTACAAGGTAACAGAATGTCAGTGAGCTGGGGCATAACCCATCCACTGGAGTCCCCACCAGACACACCAGAGTCCTGCGGGACATGATCCTGGAGGCGTGTGGCTTCACACCATAGGAATGCTGCATGTACTCAAGGTATCTATGGACAAGCGTGTTCAAGCTCATCAGGTAGAAGATGAGGAAGTAGAGCGACTGAGAAATGTGAGCGATGTGATGGTGGTCATGCGCTGCAGCCAAAGATTGATCCCATTGTCCCCCTACAACCATTTACTACGCTGTACACATGCAAATCAAGTTGTTTACTTGTAACTGACATAGCAAAGACTTAAAACAATAACAAAATAAATCAGATTCTCTGTATGATTTGCTTTCTTAGGTGTTCAGTTCTTATTACATTTTAATGAAATAAAAAACAGAAATCAGGTGATACCCTCAGCATGATTTATGTAGAAACGGTGAAAGTCCAATCAATAGACTAATAGATGAGCAAAAGAATTGACCCTTCATCAACCAGCTGGAGGGAAAGGGAACCAGAGAGGATAACAATTGAGAGCAAAATACAGTGATGCAGTTATGCAAATGTCATGATGAACCTAGAAGTTACCTTTAAAAAGAGTGGATGCTGGGCTACCAGGGTGGCTCAGTGGGTAAGGTGGTTGTTAAGCCAGGCATAGCAGGTTATGCTTGTAATTCCACTTATTTTTACCATATACTAAGTTCTAATGGCACTAGACAGGAAAAAGAAAAGCCTGTCCTAAACAGGAAAGAGTTTTCTTTCTCTGTGGACCTGAAGTATTAGAAGAATCAGGAGATGAGTGTGGTATGCCGATTTGCCCTCTCTTGTAGTCCTGCTCCCGAGAGACTGAGAGGGGAGGGTCACATGAGTCAGACACAGCTTCTGGGACACCCATCACAATTTTTGTCATTTTGTTATTAAATCTTGGGCACTGGAGAACACTGTTCACCTTAGTTGTGGTGGTGTTCTTTAAGGCTTTAAATGTGTTCATGGATAACTAGGTGAAAAAGGTCAAGCCAAAACAACCAATTTTCTAGAAAGGCAGCATCCAGAAGTGTGACTTCTGCCCTCAAAGATGCAAGAGTCTACCTTCTGGCAGCCTCTGCCACTGTAGGCATCAAGGTATGACTGCATTCCTTTCTCTGTGGACCAAGAGCGTGTGACACATCTGTGCAAGAATCTGCTTTGAAACCGTACAACTAGTAGGTGCTGTGAGAGAAGGACACGGTCCAAAGTGATCGGAGTACTCAGACAAAAGTCAGACAAAGATGCCATCCATCGTGGTGAGCGGCACTGACTCAGTACCTTCTGACTTTTCCCAGGACTTCTGGATCACAGAGTCAGTCACACCATCCCCTGAAGGGTTTAGGTGCAATTAGTGATAAAAGCAGACATACCTCCAAGAGGAGACTGGAGGAGAACCAAGCTGGGTCTCTTGGGAATTGTACATGAGATAACAACATGTCCATGCTAAGTCCAGACCACAGTTACTCTATCAAGCTGCTCCACAGCGCTCCCTGGAGTTGGACATATTTCACTGGGAATATGGTCTTCCTTTTCTTTGATCTGCACTAGTGACTTGGTCCAATGATAAATATGTGAAACATTTTGGAGGAAACAAAACCGACCCAAGTTGGATATGGATTCGTTTCCTGCAGTCAATTGTTTTACCCAAGAACTAACTCCCGGAGACCTAGATTATTCTGTTAGGTCCCTTTGTCCAGTAGATCTCATTGATAAAGTGCGAGACTGTGAGCGTGCGTATTCCATTCCTTTCGGGGCTTATTTACACTCAATGTTCATTCATAGATAGTTTAAGAGACACCATGTAAATAAAAAATCTTATCTTCTCCAACGATAAATAATAAAACCAATCCCTTGCTTATCTCAGTAGAGAAGATTTACTGGTGCACAAGAAAGATTAAAACACCTAGAAGACTTTAAATAATGATGACTACTGAACAAAGCTCACAGCTGCAGATCACCTCCTCAGCTACAACTCAGTCCTCAAGTGATCTTGCACTGTGAATATCACTTTCATAGAGTAATTTTTTTCCACCCTTGTCAAAGCAGCTCAGCAACCATTAATAACACACAGTGTCCTGGGTGGGTGGGGGGAGATTAGCAGTAATGCTGGCAATACATTCTGCCATGGAGGTAGGTACACAGAGAAGGAAGCCACTGATTCTGTTTGGGGAAGTCTTGAACTACTGTGTCAGTGAAAGTTAGTGGACCTTTACCTTCTTCAGGCAGTGGTGGTGCACACCTTTAATCCCAGCACTCAGGAGGCAAAGTCAGGTAGATCTCTGAGTTTGAGACCAGTCCGGTATACAGACAAGTTCCAGGATAGCTAGGAATACACAGAAAAACCCTGTCTCAACAAAATAAAAAGCTTTGCCTAGGAGGAGAAGGAGATTGGTGAGGGGAGAGAGAAGAGGGGAGAAGGTATATGAGTTTATCAATGTACAGTGATACACGTGTATGAAAATGCCATATAAAAACATTGTTTTATATGCTAACTAAACTGGTACAGCATAAAATGATAGCGAGGCACGGTGGCACAGCCTGTAATTTCAGCTCCTCAAAAGGCAAAGACAGGAGGAAGGAAGTTCAAGGCTTGCCTGGGCAACTTAGATCCTGAATCAAGAAGTAAAGATGGAAGAGTATTTGCCTATTTCTGCTGTCCCTGGCTGCCCGCCAATTCCTTTAGGGAACCATTAGACTTCTGCATTTCATGGCCAAAACCCGAGAGAACAACTTGAAAGAAGGAAGGCTCATTTGGACTCACAATTCCAGTCCACAGATACCAGCTTCTTTCTCAGCCTTGTTGAAGTGTATATCATAGTAGAAGACTACGGAAGTACAAAGTTACTCACATCGTGGTGGCCAGGAAGAGAGAGAAGGGCGAGATACTTCTTCTCAGGACATGCCTCCCACCATGACTCCACTCCTCACCTTCACCACCTCCCAATAACACCATCATATTATGACTTTATCAGGGAATCAATCCATCGATGACGTAGGAGCTACCATGAGCCATTCATTGGCTAAAAGCCTGTCAGTTGGCAACTATGTGAGTTCATTTCATATTCAGACTATGGCAGGAAACTTTATCTCCCCTGCTTCAACGACCCCAGGTGGCTGTGATGGTTAATACTGACTATCAACTTGACAGGGTCTAGAATGATGCAGAAGACAAGTCCCTGGGCGTGCCCGTGAGAGATGTCTAGTCTAGATTGGGTTGAGGTGGAGGACTCACTCTAATTGCTGAACACAAAGGGAAAGATAACTAAGTGGGTTTTGTCCTTCCCTGTTCTTTGCTTCCTGGATACAAGGGCAATGTGACCAGGAGCTTCAAACTCCTGCTGCCATGACTTCTCTGTCACAACAGACTACACCCTTGGACATTAAAACCTACATTAAGTTGCTTTTGCCAGGTATTTTGAAGCAACAGTTGGGTAACTAATACAAAAGTTATTAGTCACATTGTCCCTTCTTTCAGAAAGGTGGCTATATAATCGGGGTACCAATCTTGGCCCAGTGACTGGGTTCTAGGATGGTAGGAAAAAGAATGAAGGTTCTTGCTGTTTTATCTGGGTGTGTGCATGTTACTAGGGACCAATTCCAGGTTCTTATACACATTAGACAGGTGCCACGCCTTTGACCTATATTCCCAGACCTTTGATTTTATTTTTTTAAGTTTTTAAAGATTTATTTATTATGTGTACAGTGTTCTGCCTGCATGTATGCCTGCGGGCCAGAAGAGGACACCAGATCTCATTACAGATGGTTGTAAGCTACCATGTGGTTGCTGGTTGCTGGGAATTGAACTCAGGACCTTTGGAAGAGCAGCCAGCGTTCTTAACTACTGAGCCATCTCTCCAGCCCCCAGACCTTTGATTTTATGAGTTAAAATGTTCTTTTCTTAGAAGGCGCTCCATCTTTACTACTCTTTGGCTGTTTACTAGGAAAAGTTAAACGTTTTAACACACACTCACGTGTATACACACACACACTCCAAGTGCTAACCATCAGAGGTGATGGACATTCATTAGCTTGGCTGTGATGGTCCTATCGCTATGTGTATCAGAACATCCCACACTAAGCCTTAGAAAAAAAACCAATTTAAACAAAAATATTTATGTTATGTGTACAAGTATTTTGCCTGCATGTTTATCTGAGTTCCACATGTGTGTATTGCCCTAGCAGGTAGAAGAGGCTGTCGGACCCCCTGTAACTGGAGTTATAGACAGCTGTGAGCCACCATGCAGGTGACGGGAATTGAACGTGGAGTACCCAGTGAGTGTTTTTTAACAGCTGGGTCAACTCTCCAGCTCCCCAGAACAATTTAGAGCTACGGGTATAAAAGGGAGAAAGTCTACAACGCTCCAAACTCTCTCCATAAAGCTCCCTGCTTTCTGATACGACTCACCTTTACCT